GCGAGTTTCAAGGGAGGAATTTAACCCATAAAATGAGAGCTCCTTCCCGTTACTCTGTATTATTAACCAAGTTATTATTTTTGCTATCTATCCAAGCACCTATTTTATTTAAAGTACTACCTCTAAAATCACCATTATTATAATATAAATGAATTTCGAAGATTTCCGATTTGTACTTTTTCAGGGTTGTCCTCGATAACTACTCAATCAGAGATGCAAACGCGTATTATTTGTGTGAAATTTAAAAAATATGCAGTTTGCCAATTTCTCTGAGAACACAATGTATATAAATAACGAATTATGTATGTTTATTTTTTTTTTACAAAAAATTTTTTATATATTCAATATACAGCACGTATGACTAAATGCTAAAAATATAAAATGAATGTAATTTAAAATAAATAAATTTTGAATGAAATGCAATGTTTGATGACATTCAAAATAAAAAAAAAAAGAAATCTATTCCAATTTCACTCCAAAAAAGAAAAAAAGAGAATAACTAAAAGTTTATTAAAAAAGCTAAACTAGAAAAGCCCAGCATATTTAGTTTAGTTTGATAAGAAAAAAAATCACGTTATATAAATATAAGACTATTTTTTTTTGGTCTTTTTTTTTTTTACATTTGAAATGATTAAAAAATGTACATATAAATGTGATGCATGATGTATGAAAAAAATCTATAACAAAAACCTTAGCTTATCGGAATTGATAACAATGATAATGTTTTTTAATGTTATCTACTCCTCAAAATTTTTTGGCAATATTGATATCATCCCGATAAGAAATTAAAGCCATAGGTGTAGTAAAATGTTCTTAATTTTGGCTCTGTATAATTGTTCGGAATTACTATATAAAAAGCAATTTTAATTATTTTCCATTAAATTAACCAAATTTTACGCGTCATCTTTAAATAACAAATGTTGGACAATTATAGAAGCATTGAGACAAAACTCGAAATAAAAGAACTATATATCATCATTGAGATAATATTAGAAACACATAAATTTGTTTCTCTTTGCAACAAGTTTCTCCATTTGGTTCTCAATTGCAATTCGTGCCTTTTCAGCCTTTTCTTTGGCTTTGCGTTCTTCTTCAAGTACACTCTCCATGACTTTCTTTTCTTCTCGCACAGTTGATTTAGCTTGCTCTACTTGTTGTTGAGCATCATCTAACTGTGCTCTTAAATTCTTGATCTGTTCAAGGAAATCTTGCTTCTCACGTTGTAATATAGTTAACTGTTGTTTGGCTACGCGTAGATTTGTTTCGTTATCATTAAGTGAGGACTCCAATGTTTCAACAAGTTGATGATTTTGTAAATTTTCATTCTCCATCTTTGAAATTTTCTTTTGCAATTTTTGTATTTCCACTGCAAGTTCTGACGATGTACTAGAATCAGATCTATGTCTTGAATCTGGTCGTGGAAAGCCTGGTGTTGATGGTGGTGAAATTGGACTTTGAGGAACAATTTGCTTTGGAGGCGGTGGTGGTGGATGACTTGGTGGTGGTGTAGGTGGAGGTGCATTTGTATGATTTCCAGCGATTGATCGTAAACTTTTCTTTGTTTCTGATGAATTGGACGTTATTGATGAAGCAGAGTTACGGACCTCAATGTTTGCTTCTTGTAATAACTTGGTTAATAATACAGAGTAACGGGAAGGAGCTCTCATTTTATGGGTTAAATTCCTCCCTTGAAACTCGC